CTTGCTTCCCAATACAAACAGGTCTCATCAGTACAGTAATAGGATTAGAAATCACCTTACTTTAGCATCGTTGCACATTAATTTCTGTCACGCGTACGTAGAGCCTTTCTGCCATGATACGCTCATCAAATGTCGTGACATTTCCACTCGTAAATGACCCAGATTAGCCTGAGAAAACGACCAACATTTCGCGACGCCACCACTGGTTTCCCCGCGAAATGACGTCTGAGAAACGAGAGCAGAAATTCCATACTGATGACGTGTCACTACCCAGATCTGGGTAGTACTCTTCTGATTGGTTAAAAATTTGCCTTCACCAATCAGAAGTACTACCAAGATCTGGATAGTGACGAAAATCAAAATCCATCCCCTTTGGGACCCGAAGTAGCTCTCTGAACGGTGGTGTACACGTGCAAGTTATGGAGTGAAATACCTTGTACAACACTCAGGGATCGTACAGAGCATCAATTTTCAGAAATTTTCCAGACCTGAAAAAAGTCTCGAAAATGGAGATGAAGTCTGAAAAAATAGTAAAAAAAAATCTTGAGTTTTTTTTTCAAAGCTACAACAAATAGTGCTTGATGAGTGAAATGTTTTTCGTTTTGGTCAAATCTTATTTAATTTCGCCCGTTTGTTTGCAGCCTATCATGAAAAAATCTTTGTTCCTGCGTTTTTTTAAGGTGTCTGTTGATCACTTACCTATTTGATAATCTTGAGTCTGGAAAAAGAAATTATTGTTTTGGAAAAAAGTCTTGAAAAGTCTTAAATTTATTTCCTGGTATCTGTGCAAAGGATGAACGGTAGTTAAAAAAAAGGATCAGCTAGTGATTTTAGGAAGTAAAGCAGCGGTGGTAAAACGGACACCGAAAAGAATTGTTACCATTCCTGCCCCATTGGTTCGTTGGAGAACTTCCATGCGAACGCAGGCGTCTAGAGATTTAGAATCACGTTTACAGATAACGCCATTTGGAAACATGTTGCTAAGCTTTCTCTTTATTTGTCATTAAATGTTTATCTTTACTACCCCAAAATAAAGACATTCATGTCAGGTTTATCCGTAAGGATAATTTAATTTTCTCAGTTTTTATCTGTTGATTGTTGATTTCCTAACTTGAGTAATTGTAATACTTGAACATGATGTTTCGACTTTGTCGTCAACGTAATTCTACGACTCCGAATCGACGGGAGTGATCGTGGCAGTAACTTTTATGAGACCAAATTTATGGATTCCAGTCGTTGAAAGGAAAATCGAGAGTCACGGCAAACGGCAAACATTCAGACCCAAGGTGACATTTTCGATTTCTTGAGTTAGGAAATGAACAGGTACAAACTTTGCAAAATAATTGTTATGGATTAGACTGATCGACATGAAACTACTAACTTTTTTGTGCAGATACAACAACTGAATCGGCTTCTGATGAAAACTGCGCAAGGGTGGTGCAGTGGTGACGGCTCTTGCCTCGCTTCCCCCGGGGGGGGGGGAAATCCCTATAATGGCCTTTATGGTGAGGCTCCGACCGAAAGGGGTACCTTTTCATGCTTCAGGTATATGAAAGGATAGGTTTGTTGTTGGTTCTCTTCCTTGCCGATAGGTTTTTCTTAGGGTGCTCTTGTTTTCCCCTCTCTCCAAAAACCAACCTTTCCAAATTCCAATTCGATCCGCAAGCAACGCACGGACTCGTTTAAGCGAGTTCTTAATAACTTCTAAGTGCTCCGTGGGAAAACAAATTACAAATTACAATTTTAGTTATTTATTTTTTAGAATGATACTTTGGTCACGTAAAAATTGACGTTGCCGTTTGACCTGAATGGATTCTAAATCTCTCCGATATTGTAGGAAATATTTTTTGTTAAAGAGCAAATAGATAATTAAGGATAAACACGAATTTGCTATGTCAATACGCTTTATTTTAAGAAACTTGGTGAGATTATTTACAGATTACAATCAAACCTCCATGTGCGACCTTCTCGGATACGCGACATGCTGTTCGAACTACTAAAATTAGTTTTCGTACTCAAAGCACTACTGAAAACTGGACCACCAAATCTTTGCATCATACTTAAAGCAAATACTGGTCTTCTATACTAACATACTAACCTATGCTCAGGCATGAACATTATACAATGAAACAACCTTTAGTTTACAACTGGGCTAGTTTGGAGTTAGGACAAGTTGGTTTCGCAAGGCTTTTATTTGACTAAATTGAGTCGTCAAATCTTATTTCATAATGCAAGGTTGCAAAACTACTGCTTCTATGTTCACAAAAAGATTGGCTCTAAAATATATACAATTCTACTAAACTATAAACCTTGCAATGTTGTTTGCATTGTAATAAAACTTCAATTTGCGATAAAAAAAATCTCGTTTACATAAAAAGTATTTTTTATTTGTAGCCTTAGGGACTAATTAAGGAAGTAGGGTTTTTTTGCAAATTACCTAAAAAGACAGGGAAATTAGCTAATCCTAACGTTATTCGTGTCACAATTACAATTTTATCGTTGTCCGAGCTACCGATGTACACTTCTACATGTACAAAGTTGGTGATTTGAGCTTTTCAAGACATTTTAGAGATTAGAGTACTCAAGGTACCTACACACACACACAAAATAAGATTAGTGGGAAAAATAATTAAGCCGGCAAAGATAAACCGCTGGGCCAAGCAAGTCAGTTCTCTTTCACAGTAATTCTTTTAATCAATGTTCGTATGCTGCAGAGATTGATCCTTTACATTATCCGCCAGGGACTACCTCATTGAAATTCTGCGGAAGGGCTGTTTCGTTATTCCATGGTGTGTCGTTAGTGTAATACCTGCAACAGTAATGTATAAGAAACATAAAAATTAATAAAACACATCTACTCAACATAAAAGACTCCAGCTGGGCTAAGTGGCATTTTACATGGGTTCATTTTACATGGAGGAGGGATCCTCCGGCTTTATCGTGGCGGAAGAGGTTTACTTATTTGAGTTTATCTCACCGCTAAAACTTTCCAATCAATTGGCATCACAAATGAAATGTAGGGTGCACAGCTAAAATAGGTTTGAAACTTCTTGCCTTGATGACCTATGGAATCTCGGTCTTCCCTCTTTGGTCCAAGTTTAGAACCAGTGTACTTCTGTAATTCAGTCAGTGTCAGCGAAAAGCCCTCTAGTTACGGTCAAGACTCCATACACAGTCCATAATTTGTACTTTGCAGTGTTTTCGATCAATTCTGAGATCTAGATCTCCGCCATAATATTTTTGATCCGATTATCTTTATATCAAACAAAAACCTTCCCTGGGCTGTTTGGTTCGTATTCATAACTGGAATTCTCTTCCTATTATATTCAGAAAGAAAAAAGTTTGTCAGCAAACCCTCACGATCATATTGAACCGTAGCAAATAAAAGAATATTGAATTATTTGTGCCTCATATATCAGAAAAGAGAGAAAAGAATTAAATCATTCTGTGTTTTTGTAGGGATTCGGGGCTTAGTGTTTTTTTTTCTTTTTCAAATGCAAAGTCCCGCATATGCACGGGTTGACTGATAAGTACAGAGGTGTGGTCGAATGTTAAAAAGCGGTTAATTGATATTTTACCTCAGTCATAGTAAAAGCTAACTTCAGATGTAGTCAATAATGTGGCTTTTAAGGGTAAATACTGCTTTCTATTTGGTACTTAAAAGTACCAAATGCACCCAAGTTGATAAAACTGTGATACAAAAAGACCTGACAGATTTCCTATGGCTCTAATTGTCAGGAAACAATTACCTTCACTTTTCTTCACCAAAGTGAAATGACACGTCATCCCCAATCAGCATGAAAGGTGCCCACTGTCTCACTTCTGAGAAACCGTTATTTCGCATCCACTTCATGGCCCGGTGAAGACTTTCGCTTGCACTTTTCCCTTGGACAAGGTTTTCGTAGAATCTTCCCATGAACTCCTCTGTTGCTCTGTCTTGTAAGGCCCACAATGCCACCAACACTGAGCGTGCACCCGATCCTAAGAATGCTCGAGCGATTCCAACAACGCCTTCTGTTTTGATCTGTCCACGTGCGGTATGGCAACAACTAAGGACCACCAGTTTGGCTGACAGTCTAACTTGTGAAATGTCGGTCATTGACAGTAAGTAGTCTGCTTCGTGTGGAAACTCCACTGTGGAGTCAGCGGGGTAAGAGCAATTTCTCCTCTTTCGGCATCACCATGAGCAGCGAAAATGTACGAGGCTCACTGAGGGTATTCTCTGAAGAACCGCCTGCTTTGTTGCTTGCTCTCCTATTAAAAGGTGAGATTCAGGTAGTAGTCTCGCAATCATCTCTGCTTCCCCTTTCGCGCCAGGCAATGGACAGAGATACCTTAACACTCCCTTGAAATACACATCCGTCACTCTTGGCTCACCCACAATCAATGCACCAGTTTCGCTGTGAGAGTCGGCTGGACTGTCCACAATGAGCTTGAGAGTCGTCAAAGAAGGGACAATTCGTATCCTGAAAGAATCTGATAAATAGCGGCTATTTTCATCGTGTAATGCTGCAAACGGAACTTGGAAGAAGCAGCGATCAGGAAGAACAATGATTTCAGATCCTTATAGCAAGTCACTCACGGGAGCAATCAACATGTTGTAAACCTGAAAAAGTGTTGGCGGTTCAGGGTCCGTGTATACTTCTCCCTTATCTAAAAGAGGACGCAAGGTTGAGAGACTATCTTCCAGATTTGATTCGTTTGTAAGTTGGTTGGCGAATGAAGAGAAGAGTGATCGGTCTTCGCGTTGTTCTTGAGGTAAAACGTGAAATTTTCTTAATAAGCTTTCGTTTCCAAACAGGTCATACACAGAGATTTTGCCATGCTTGCTAACATAGCTTTCACAAAGTTTCGTTCTTCGGAAAGCTACCGGTTTGTTTTGTTTCAAAACCCACAAAAATATGCTGTTGCCATTTTTCTTAATTACTTCCGCGATGCCAACAAACGATTGTGGGTTAATGGATATTTCTTTTTCAATGGAGTAGCGATTTGACATAAGTTCTGCTAGAGCTCTGGCCCGTCCAAGTTCAGCAGCGTGTAAAGCTTCATAGGGTTTCCCACAAAAACAACTCAATGAACAAAACAGCCGATAGGGAGAAGCGTTCTTGTCAAAAAATGATATATTGTGGCTATCTTTGCTTCCTAGAGAAGTAAGCATTTTTTCGTAAATTTGAATGCTTGACCAGAGATCCGATAAGGCTTGAGATGTGTTTCCTAGCTTTAGGTAGCGAGACGCTTCTCCGTCTTTGTCGCCAATTTCTGTGTTGGTGGTAAGTGCTGTATGAAGATTTTCTTCAGCCTTGCCATATTCTCCTACATGTGCAAACAGAGCTCCTAGGTGTCCGTAGCATGAGGCTTCTCCGTTTCTGTCGCCAATTTCCGTCTTGATGGTAAGTGCTTTATGAAGATATTCTTCAGCCTTGGCATATTCTCCGACAGAACAAAACACAATTCCTAGGTTTTCGTAGCATGTCGCTTTTCCGTTTCTGTCGCCAATTTCTGTGTTGATGGTAAGTGCTTTATGAAGATATTCCTCAGCCTTGGCATATTCTCCGACAGATTGAAACACATTTCCTAGGTTTCCGTAGCATGACGCTTCTCCGTTTCTGTCGCCAATTTGTGTCTTGATGGCAAGTGCTTTATGAAGATATTCTTCAGCCTTGGCATATTCTCCGACAGATTGAAACACATTTCCTACGTTTACGTAGCATGACGCTTCTCCGTTTCTGTCGCCAATTTCTGTCTTGATGGTAAGTGCTTTATGAAGATATTCTTCAGCCTTGGCATATTCTCCGACAGATTCAAACACATTTCCTAGGTTTACGTAGCAGGACGCTTCTCCGTTTCTGTCGCCAATTTTTGTGTTGATGGTAAGTGCTTTATGAAGATATTCTTCAGCCTTGGCATATTCTCCGACAGAACCAAACACATTTCCTAGGTTTCCGTAGCATGACGCTTCTCCCACTCTGTCGCCAATTTCTGTGTTGATGGTAAGTGCTTTATGAAGATATTCTTCAGCCTTGGCATATTCTCCGACAGATCGAAACACATTTCCTAGGTTTACGTAGCATGACGCTTCTCCGTTTCTGTCGCCAATTTCTGTGTTGATGGTAAGTGCTTTATGAAGATATTCTTCAGCTTTGGCATATTCTCCGACAGATTGAAACACATTTCCTAGGTTTCCGTAGCATGACGCTTCTCCCACTCTGCCGCCAATTTCTGTGTTGATGGTAAGTGCTTTATGAAGATATTCTTCAGCCTTGGCATATTCTCCGACAGATTGAAACACATTTCCTAGGTTTCCGTAGCATGACGCTTCTCCCACTCTGCCGCCAATTTCTGTGTTGATGGTAAGTGCTTTATGAAGATATTCTTCAGCCTTGGCATATTCTCCGACAGATCGAAACACATTTCCTAGGTTTACGTAGCATGACGCTTCTCCGTTTCTGTCGCCAATTTCTGTGCTGATGGTAAGTGCTTTATGAAGATATTCTTCAGCCTTGGCATATTCTCCGACAGAACCAAACACATTTCCTAGGTTTCCGTAGCATGACGCTTCTCCCACTCTGTCGCCAATTTCTGTGTTGATGGTAAGTGCTTTATGAAGATATTCTTCAGCCTTGGCATATTCTCCGACAGAACCAAACACATTTCCTAGGTTTACGTAGCATGTCGCTCCTCCATTTCTGTCGCCAATTTCTGTGTTGATGGTAAGTGCTTTATGAAGATATTCTTCAGCCTTGGCATATTCTCCGACAGAACCAAACACATTTCCTAGGTTTACGTAGCATGACGCTTCTCCCACTCTGTCGCCAATTTCTGTGTTGATGGTAAGTGCTTTATGAAGATATTCTTCAGCCTTGGCATATTCTCCGACAGATTGAAACACATTTCCTAGGTTTATGTAGCATGACGCTTCTCCGTTTTTGTCGCCAATTTCTGTGTTGATGGTAAGTGCTTTATGAAGATATTCTTCAGCCTTGGCATATTCTCCGACAGATTGAAACACATTTCCTAGGTTTACGTAGCATGACGCTTCTCCGTTTCTGTCGCCAATTTCTGTGTTGATGGTAAGTGCTTTATGAAGATATTCTTCAGCCTTGGCATATTCTCCGACAGATTGAAACACATTTCCTAGGTTTCCGTAGCATGACGCTTCTCCGTTTCTGTCGCCAATTTCTGTGTTGATGGTAAGTGCTTTATGAAGATATTCTTCAGCCTTGGCATATTCTCCGACAGATTGAAACACATTTCCTAGGCGTCCGTAGCATGACGCTTCTCCGTTTCTGTCGCCAATTTCTGTGTTGATGGTAAGTGCTTTATGAAGATATTCTTCAGCCTTGGCATATTCTCCGACAGAACCAAACACATTTCCTAGGTTTACGTAGCATGTCGCTTCTCCGTTTCTGTCGCCAATTTCTGTGTTGATGGTAAGTGCTTTATGAAGATATTCTTCAGCCTTGGCATATTCTCCGACAGAACCAAACACATTTCCTAGGTTTCCGTAGCATGACGCTTCTCCGTTTCTGTCGCCAATTTCTGTCTTGATGGTAAGTGCTTTATGAAGATATTCTTCAGCCTTGGCATATTCTCCGACAGATCGAAACACATTTCCTAGGTTTACGTAGCATGACGCTTCTCCGTTTCTGTCGCCAATTTCTGTGTTGATGGTAAGTGCTTTATGAAGATATTCTTCAGCCTTGCCATATTCTCCGACAGACTGAAACACACTTCCTAGGTGTCCGTAGCATGTCGCTTCTCCGTTTCTGTCGCCAATTTCTGTGTTGATGGTAAGTGCTTTATGAAGATATTCTTCAGCCTTGGCATATTCTCCGACAGATTGAAACACACTTCCTAGGCGTCCGTAGCATGACCCTTCTCCTTTTCTGTCGCCAATTTCTGTCTTGATGGTAAGTGCTTTATGAAGATATTCTTCAGCCTTGCCATATTCTCCGACAGAATGAAACACATTTCCTAGGTTTCCGTAGCATGTCGCCTCTCCGTTTCTGTCGCGAATTTGTGTCTTGATGGTAAGTGCTTTATGAAGATATTCTTCAGCCTTGGCATATTCTCCGACAGAACCAAACACATTTCCTAGGTTTACGTAGCATGACGCTTCTCCGTTTCTGTCGCCAATTTCTGTGTTGATGGTAAGTGCTTTATGAAGATATTCTTCAGCCTTGGCATATTCTCCGACAGACTGAAACACATTTCCTAGGTTTACGTAGCATGACGCTTCTCCGTTTCTGTGGCCAATTTCTGTGTTGATGGTAAGTGCTTTATGAAGATATTCTTCAGCCTTGGCATATTCTCCGACAGATTGAAACACATTTCCTAGGTTTCCGTAGCATGACGCTTCTCCGTTTCTGTCGCCAATTTCATTGTTGATGGGAAGTGCTTTATGAAGATATTCTTCAGCCTTGGCATATTCTCCGACAGATTGAAACACATTTCCTAGGTTTACGTAGCATGACGCTTCTCCGTTTCTGTCGCCAATTTCTGTGTTGATGGTAAGTGCTTTATGAAGATATTCTTCAGCCTTGGCATATTCTCCGACAGATTGAAACACATTTCCTAGGTTTACGTAGCATGACGCTTCTCCGTTTCTGTCGCCAATTTCTGTGTTGATGGTAAGTGCTTTATGAAGATATTCTTCAGCCTTGGCATATTCTCCGACAGATCGAAACACACTTCCTAGGTTTACGTAGCATGACGCTTCTCCGTTTCTGTCGCCAATTTCTGTGTTGATGGGAAGTGCTTTATGAAGATATTCTTCAGCTTTGGGATATTCTCCGACAAATTGAAACACATTTCCTAGGTTTACGTAGCATGACGCTTCTCCGTTTCTGTCGCCAATTTCTGTGTTGATGGTAAGTGCTTTATGAAGATATTCTTCAGCCTTGGCATATTCTCCGACAGAACCAAACACATTTCCTAGGTTTACGTAGCATGTCGCTTCTCCGTTTCTGTCGCCAATTTCTGTCTTGATGGTAAGTGCTTTATGAAGATATTCTTCAGCCTTGGCATATTCTCCGACAGATCGAAACACACTTCCTAGGTTTACGTAGCATGACGCTTCTCCGTTTCTGTCGCCAATTTCTGTCTTGATGGCAAGTGCTTTATGAAGATATTCTTCAGCCTTGGCATATTCTCCGACAGAACGAAACACATTTCCTAGGTTTACGTAGCATGACGCTTCTCCGTTTCTGTGGCCAATTTCTGTGTTGATGGTAAGTGCTTTATGAAGATATTCTTCAGCCTTGGCATATTCTCCGACAGACTGAAACACATTTCCTAGGTTTACGTAGCATGACGCTTCTCCGTTTCTGTGGCCAATTTCTGTCTTGATGGTAAGTGCTTTATGAAGATATTCTTCAGCCTTGGCATATTCTCCGACAGATTGAAACACATTTCCTAGGTTTCCGTAGCATGACGCTTCTCCGTTTCTGTCGCCAATTTCTGTGTTGATGGGAAGTGCTTTATGAAGATATTCTTCAGCCTTGGCATATTCTCCGACAGATTGAAACACATTTCCTAGGTTTACGTAGCATGACGCTTCTCCGTTTCTGTCGCCAATTTCTGTGTTGATGGTAAGTGCTTTATGAAGATATTCTTCAGCCTTGGCATATTCTCCGACAGATTCAAACACATTTCCTAGGTTTCCGTAGCATGACGCTTCTCCGTTTCTGTCGCCAATTTCTGTCTTGATGGCAAGTGCTTTATGAAGATATTCTTCAGCCTTGGCATATTCTCCGACAGAACCAAACACATTTCCTAGGTTTACGTAGCATGACGCTTCTCCGTTTCTGTCGCCAATTTCTGTGTTGATGGTAAGTGCTTTATGAAGATATTCTTCAGCCTTGGCATATTCTCCGACAGAACCAAACACATTTCCTAGGTTTACGTAGGATGACGCTTCTCCGTTTCTGTCGCCAATTTCTGTCTTGATGGTAAGTGCTTTATGAAGATATTCTTCAGCCTTGGCATATTCTCCGACAGATCGAAACACATTTCCTAGGTTTACGTAGCATGACGCTTCTCCGTTTCTGTCGCCAATTTCTGTGTTGATGGTAAGTGCTTTATGAAGATATTCTTCAGCCTTGCCATATTCTCCGACAGACTGAAACACACTTCCTAGGTGTCCGTAGCATGTCGCTTCTCCGTTTCTGTCGCCAATTTCTGTGTTGATGGTAAGTGCTTTATGAAGATATTCTTCAGCCTTGGCATATTCTCCGACAGATTGAAACACACTTCCTAGGCGTCCGTAGCATGACCCTTCTCCTTTTCTGTCGCCAATTTCTGTCTTGATGGTAAGTGCTTTATGAAGATATTCTTCAGCCTTGCCATATTCTCCGACAGAATGAAACACATTTCCTAGGTTTCCGTAGCATGTCGCCTCTCCGTTTCTGTCGCGAATTTGTGTCTTGATGGTAAGTGCTTTATGAAGATATTCTTCAGCCTTGGCATATTCTCCGACAGAACCAAACACATTTCCTAGGTTTACGTAGCATGACGCTTCTCCGTTTCTGTCGCCAATTTCTGTGTTGATGGTAAGTGCTTTATGAAGATATTCTTCAGCCTTGGCATATTCTCCGACAGACTGAAACACATTTCCTAGGTTTACGTAGCATGACGCTTCTCCGTTTCTGTGGCCAATTTCTGTGTTGATGGTAAGTGCTTTATGAAGATATTCTTCAGCCTTGGCATATTCTCCGACAGATTGAAACACATTTCCTAGGTTTCCGTAGCATGACGCTTCTCCGTTTCTGTCGCCAATTTCATTGTTGATGGGAAGTGCTTTATGAAGATATTCTTCAGCCTTGGCATATTCTCCGACAGATTGAAACACATTTCCTAGGTTTACGTAGCATGACGCTTCTCCGTTTCTGTCGCCAATTTCTGTGTTGATGGTAAGTGCTTTATGAAGATATTCTTCAGCCTTGGCATATTCTCCGACAGATTGAAACACATTTCCTAGGTTTACGTAGCATGACGCTTCTCCGTTTCTGTCGCCAATTTCTGTGTTGATGGTAAGTGCTTTATGAAGATATTCTTCAGCCTTGGCATATTCTCCGACAGATCGAAACACACTTCCTAGGTTTACGTAGCATGACGCTTCTCCGTTTCTGTCGCCAATTTCTGTGTTGATGGGAAGTGCTTTATGAAGATATTCTTCAGCTTTGGGATATTCTCCGACAAATTGAAACACATTTCCTAGGTTTACGTAGCATGACGCTTCTCCGTTTCTGTCGCCAATTTCTGTGTTGATGGTAAGTGCTTTATGAAGATATTCTTCAGCCTTGGCATATTCTCCGACAGAACCAAACACATTTCCTAGGTTTACGTAGCATGTCGCTTCTCCGTTTCTGTCGCCAATTTCTGTCTTGATGGTAAGTGCTTTATGAAGATATTCTTCAGCCTTGGCATATTCTCCGACAGATCGAAACACACTTCCTAGGTTTACGTAGCATGACGCTTCTCCGTTTCTGTCGCCAATTTCTGTCTTGATGGCAAGTGCTTTATGAAGATATTCTTCAGCCTTGGCATATTCTCCGACAGAACGAAACACATTTCCTAGGTTTACGTAGCATGACGCTTCTCCGTTTCTGTGGCCAATTTCTGTGTTGATGGTAAGTGCTTTATGAAGATATTCTTCAGCCTTGGCATATTCTCCGAGAGACTGAAACACATTTCCTAGGTTTACGTAGCATGACGCTTCTCCGTTTCTGTGGCCAATTTCTGTCTTGATGGTAAGTGCTTTATGAAGATATTCTTCAGCCTTGGCATATTCTCCGACAGATTGAAACACATTTCCTAGGTTTCCGTAGCATGACGCTTCTCCGTTTCTGTCGCCAATTTCTGTGTTGATGGGAAGTGCTTTATGAAGATATTCTTCAGCCTTGGCATATTCTCCGACAGATTGAAACACATTTCCTAGGTTTACGTAGCATGACGCTTCTCCGTTTCTGTCGCCAATTTCTGTGTTGATGGTAAGTGCTTTATGAAGATATTCTTCAGCCTTGGCATATTCTCCGACAGATTTAAACACATTTCCTAGGTTTCCGTAGCATGACGCTTCTCCGTTTCTGTCGCCAATTTCTGTGTTGATGGGAAGTGCTTTATGAAGATATTCTTCAGCCTTGGCATATTCTCCGACAGATTGAAACACATTTCCTAGGTTTACGTAGCATGACGCTTCTCCGTTTCTGTCGCCAATTTCTGTGTTGATGGTAAGTGCTTTATGAAGATATTCTTCAGCCTTGGCATATTCTCCGACAGATTGAAACACATTTCCTAGGTTTCCGTAGCATGACGCTTCTCCGTCTTTGTCTTCGATTTCTTTGTAAACGCAGAGTGCAATTTTGAGGACTGCTTGTGCTTCCTGGTATTCACTTTTTTGAAAGTACAGTTTTGATAACATCAAGGCTGTGTTACCTTCTTTTTTTTTTCTCTTAAGATTGCGAAGTAGGACTAAAAGCTTTTTGCCAGATTCTATAGCTGGTGAAAGTTTCGTAATAGCAGCATTTCCATAAAACAGCCTCTTGTTCAGCGCTATACGCACTATTGTGGCAAGTTCATGTTCGTTTTCTAAGATTTTGTTGTTTAGTAGTGTTAAGCACTCGTTCCACAGCTCGATAGCCTGGACAACTCGTTTAGTGGTCCAAAGAAAATCGGCGGCAATTATGCCATGGTGAATAGCTTCTTGAACAGTGCCCATTTGGGTCTTTTCTAAGACATAAACAGGTAAAAAAACAAGACCAGAATAATTAGCAAATAGTTCTACGGAAATAGAGTTAATCTTAAATAAAAAAAATAAGGAAGCCAGTTAGAAACGTTAATAATAATAAGCTTTTGGCTTAAGAAATAGCTGCGAATACAATAAGGTTTTCTTCAAAATGTAAAGCTTTTTCTTATACGTAACGACTCTGTGGTCTGGTCAGGTGTCATTTAAAGTTGTAAATTAAGCTGATGCTATCGTAGCTGTGATTCCACGAAACATTCTGTTTCCGTTAAATGGACTTACCCAGGAATACAAAGTTACGAAAGATTTCGGTTACCCGGATCATCAGAATAAAGCTACTTACATTTAAAAGCAGTTAACTTGTTGAAATAAATGATCATGAGTTCTGTTTGTTGAAATCTAAGTCTATAAAACATGTATCTGCATGCAGTCTTGTATTTACAAGAAATCTTTTAGTTTTTAGGTTTCTTTGCATTTTTGAAAAAGGTGGTTTCTCTTGTAGAATTTTAAGTTAGGAACAACTATATTGGAAGAATTAAAAGAACGTCTAAAAGGTTGAAAGGCATGTGACAGTACATTAAAATTCCTAACATTGATAAGCTTGCATCATTTCATTAAAAATTCGATAGAGTTTATACTGTAATATTAAGTGGCAAACAATATGGTAGTAATTAAATTGATAAGTAAAGTTGGGAATCTCCTCTGAAAGGCTTAGCAGAGCTTGCTGAGATCTCCTGCTCATGTATAGCTACAAATACCAAATGTACATTATATTAGTTTTTACAATAATAAGCGAATAAAATAAAAATACATACATAATGATTTAAGACTATAAAGAAAACCTATCAGTAGGACGCAAATAATTATGTATAGGAATATATTACAATTAAGTTTAAGAAAGAGGGAACTTTCTATAGATAATTTGGTTTGAAAAGAGGAAGTTATAAACTCGAACGTGGGAAGTCCACAAATTATTTTGAACGCACGAGGAGCTAAGCATTTGCCTTATTATATCTTGCATGAAGATCACATTTCATCGTCGCTTGAGGGTCCTCGGACAGACTCAAGCATATTAAGGCATGGCCTGAGGCTAATTTGCATAAAATCTTATAATGGTCATAACTTTGTGAAAATTTATCAGAACCTTACAAAATTTGGCAACCTCGGATAAAACCGGTAGATATCTGTGTCACGTGACCACTCATTGTCGAGTCCAGGAAAGAAATGAAAACTAAAAATGGGGTGGCGAAATGCCACACAGTATATATTGAATACAGTATTTAGGCTATTGTATCATCATTTCTCGCTTGAATTTGGCCGGAACGGTTGACTCACGTTTTTATTTAAGTGGCTGTCCACCTAAGAGCGGTCCGGCGAGTTTGGGATCGCCAGTAAACCTTCCCTTTGTTTTTTGTGGGTGAAAAGGACTTAATGAGGAATGATTAAAATCGAACTAATTTTTTTCAAAAATTCTTTTCTGGGCTTCGCTACAGCACAAAACTTCTTTCCTGTCTGAGAGCGCTTTTTCAACCATATTCCATAGCCGAAATTCGGTGATTTTAAAAGCCGCGCTTCTTCGTAACGGATAAATATCGCGAAATTCTACATAGTACAATGGATTTAGCTGCAGTTGGCTTGTCCTATGACGGAATATGGAATAACTTGACGCAAAATTAAATTAAATTAATAACATCAAACACAAGCCCCTTTGCGTTTTTTTTTCCCTCTTGACAAATTCTTCCAAAGTAAAAGCTAAAATCTCCAAAGCGGTACAAAAATCACAGGTAAAATGCACTTCACAGCAAAGATCTTACCTTATTCTGTCAGAAAATAAAGTCAAAGGTGCGGGTATCGTTCTGGGTTGGACGTGATCAAACGTTTTTAAGAGCCTCTTTTCGGCATTATTTGCATAGACAACGACTTTAATTTAGTAGATATTTTCTCAGTAGCTGAGAATGTTGTTGTGTATCCTCAAAATTACCAACATGTGTTTTCTTTTCACTAGTCTTTTTAAGTTTGTATAAATGAAAGCCGAAAAAAATGCCATAAACTGACATTCTTGATTAACCCGTCGGATATGCAAATCGTGCTCGTTTATAGACAGGTTGTCCATTTCAGCATGTTAAAATCTCAAACTACGTATGGTTATTAACTTCTTCTCAAATGTAATCAATCTTCAGCTTGGAAACTCAGCAACTGCATACCCTTTTTAAAATAGAAATTTATCTCATATTCCATTTGAGTTTCTTTTTCCGTTTCGAGCATTTGACATGATTTGAATTTGAATTCCCACATCCGTGTTTATCCCTCATTTATGCTCAACATGTAGGATTCTCTCACCTCGGGTGACTTTTCTCGTGTAGCTCTTGAGAAATTATTATGAATCACTTTAAGCTTGGTGAAGGGTATGTCTGTTGTAATATTTTTCCGAGTGCGGGTAAGATTGAACGTTTGTCCCATACACGCCCTCAGTCATATGCTAATTTGCATTTTTGTCACGCAATATACCTCCTGTATCGATCCCTTTCTTTGCATAAACAAATAAAGGGTGAACCATTACCTTATTGATAGGGGGTGGGGGGAGGACAAGGACACCGAGATTAAAAAAAAATTTTACAGGGCTGGAAGGATAATATATATTATACATACAACGAAGTGCCAGAGTGGTGTCCTCATCGATAGTGCTCAAAAACTTATAAGGCGCAAATATCTATATAAATATATTCAAGTGCTCAATAGTTAACCTAGAGCAGAATAGAAGTAGACTGATGAAACTGGATTAAATCTTGAAAATTTGTTGCTACCCAGAGTTTCAGTTCAGTTACAGTTTGCGAGGTAATCATCAGGCAACTGCCAAAATTAACGGTTACAATCAAAGATATAGGTAAAACAGAACCGTAAATACTAGGCGTTGCGCGTGGCTCAGTTGCGCTGTTTATAATTTGTAAACCTGAAATGTCTACCCTGGACAATAGAAATGAACTGATCTCAGGTTGCAGGCACTCAAAGAAATTTCTACTAAACACTGTCCTAACTTGGTTAGTTCTTGTCGCAAATTTGACATGTTGTAAGCATCACTTAAGTACGACGCGCCACGCACCTACGCCACGCCTGGCATTTATTGTTTTGTTTTACCTGATGATTCGCCTCGCAAGAGGCATGACTCACTGAGTAGCAATAAATGTTCAAGATATAATCCAGTCCCATCAGTCTACTTCTATTATATACATACATATATACAACTTTATCTAGAAGCCAAAATTAATGCAGCCTCCACCCCATCAACGCCCAAGAACACGTAAAGTGCCACATTGCTTGTAATTAAATTGATTCATTACCAGAAAAAAATCCTAACTCCTATTATATGCCAGGGGCACCCAACGACGGTTTCCTCCTAAATGGATTGAGAACACTTTTTAGGCTATCCAGAGTACTTTTAGATCTCTAGAAATGTATTCCAAGTGGCGCTAAAAAAACTTTTATCTGTTGGGTCATACTAGGGCAACCGTGAGTCTTTTTTCCCGAAAATTTTAGCTGCAATTTAAAATTTTACGAAAGTGAGGATTTTTCTGATTCCTTTCTGTATCGCATTTTCGGTTCCGAGAATTTTAGGTTTCCTTTCTCTACCAAAAACAGCTTAACCTGGGGTGTGAAATAGGAAAAGTTAAACTTCAGAAAATCGTGGGAATTTATTAGATTAGCTTCAAAAATTGTACATGCGTGGAACGGTCATCTAATAAATTTTTAGTCTTCCTCAAGCTACAGAAAATTCTGGGCAATTTTGCTTCTCCGAACAGATATTTCACAGAAATGGATATCGGCATTCTGTGCGGCCAGTTGGATTACCCCAGTCCTTCCCTAGGTTCGCACGATGTATCGGACATACAAACATTTTTTCACCTTGTTGGGCAGTTTTACCAAAATACCCAGCCCGCTGCAAAGTAAGTTCAGGGGCACCCAATGAAAATTTTCGGAAGAATATCTGTTCGGAAGACGATTTGAGATCTAGAATTTTCGAAACATTTGTTGTAAAATTTCTTGCTTGCCTGCCTCTCCTAGGATTTTCGAACATCCAAAAAATGGTATATTTGCCTATTTTTAACGGATTTTTACCCTAAAAAGGCCACCTAGAATTTTCGGAAGCCTTTTTGCTGGCTGAAATTTTCGAAAAGGTAAGTTTTGATCCCTATAATTTTCGGATCACTAGGAAATCCGAACAGATGAAAAATTTTTAGGGGATAAAAATATGCCTGTATCTACCGTTTAAATACTAAAATACCTTTAACAATGCTATGTTTAAGTGGTTTTGAACCATATTCTCGTTGGGTGCCCCTGTAAGTTCGCTCTCTCAGTGTAATATTTTCTTTCGTTAAGTGACATCGCCTCGAATCGAGCCGTAATAACGCTCACCTGTTACATTGACTAAGAGGCACCAACCTGCTTTCTCCTTCCGCTTTCATCATTGCGTGACAACAATCTTAATTAACATATGACCATGACGAAAACCCAAAAGGAAATTGAGCTGAATTCAGTCTTTATTAAAAAGCCTTTTGGTTGCTGAGACTCCAAACTCAAAACGGGCTTCGTTTGACCAGAAGTGAATTGTATTCTTTATGATTTTGAAAATTGCTGAAATCGACAACCCCGCTGTAAATCAGCTTTTAAATTTGCATAATATACGAGCAGATGAAGAATTCCTACATCTATATTATGACATTTTATGCCGGTTTATAGGGCTAAGATGGCTTACAAAACAACAAATGTACGTTATTTTGACGAAGCATACCAAGATTTTGCCCCGTGGGAAAAATATCAGCATTATCATATGAGTTTAAGTGTAGGTGCCAAACGTGCAATTTTAGGTAAATATTGACAAAAGGAGCTCTCAAAAACGCTTGTTCAGGGTCGTAACATGGTATATCCGGGGCCTAGTGATCCCTATTTTCTTGCCTTCATTTTGATCCCTGAGCCCTAAT